GCGTTCCGCGCGCGCCTCTAAGAGCCAATTGACCACCACAGACGGGGCCCTATAGGGCTGATGTTCAGCCGGAGTAACCGCATTGAGTCACCGCGGCCTCTGCCCAGAGCAGGAAAAGGAACGGGGGGTTTTTAGTCAATAAGAGTCTGACACTCTCTCTCTCGCCTAACCCTGGGCGGGAGAAGTCATTTAATGATTTTCCCCTGACAAAAAAAGGGTTAGGATGCAGTAAATTTTTACACCACCCTAAGATTTATGTTTGAACTCATGATGAAGGTTTCGGATCTAATTGAATGTAACGGCAAGTATAAGAACCTACGCAGATACAAAAAAATTTAAAAATCGAACAGCTACTTTTTTTTAATTATGGAAGCACATGGAGTATATCATTGGTATATAGTAAAAGAGTTACCATCACACGAGAAAATAAAAATGATTCAATCAAACTGAAGAGCTATTCTACGCTAATTAAGTGTGAACGGTGCATTGTGTGCATTAATTAAATAGCACTGCACTAGTAAAAGAACTGTACAGTTATAAGAGTTGTAACTTACTTTTCTTACCGTAACTGCTAGACCTATGTTTTTAACTGCGTAAGTTTGCACCTTACTCCTTTGCTAGTATAATATTTAATCTATATTTATAAAAATCAATTCCATCCATTTATCCATTTTTCCTTGTAATGTTATAACTCAACAATGCCTTTACCGATTTGGCTAAAGCTTTAATTTTTTTAAATTATTCGTGGAAGTCCAGAAAAGGTTTCTTCGTAAAGAAATTGTGACATACATATCATCATATCATAGAACCTTTAGTTTTACTACTGACCTTCTGATACTTACCGCGATTCTTAAGAATGATAGCATTTTTAAAACCTTCCTACTATGAAGTTAAACATTGCGCGAAAAAAGTACACGTATCAATATCTATACAAATTAAACCTATCCATTTACTTAGACATTTTACCGTATAAATAAGGTTCAATATAAAATGGCCAAAAGGCAAAGGGTTTTCTCATCGCCACTCGCCAGGTGAAAATTACGAATGCAATTATTGATTTAACAGCTGCGTGTACCCCTATAGCTTCCTCGGCGCCGCGCCGGTACACACAACACACTTAGTACCTGCCAGGTTTGTTTGCTCGAAGCCTCGAAGCCAGTAAAACAGACTCAATGTTCAAAGTCAAGTTGCCAAACAAAAAAAAAATCCAAGCAAAGAGTTTTTACACCCGATACAATTTCTTTAAAACATTTTTTATTTCATATTCTTATTTCAAACTTCCTATATGAATTTAATGAGTCTAGACAGTTAAATGGTGTTGTCAAAATGCAGATCGATCGAAGCATAAAGCGGGGCAATTCGTTCATAAATATTACTCCACATTGAAGTATCTACGTGGCCTGTGTTGACAGACAATTTTATTCGAATTCAATATTGCTCTACGATTATACATAAAACATAGGCTGGATGTCAGTTAATCATACCTATTTACCTTGGTACACGCGTAAAAGGGGCTTAAAATATTTATTATACCGAAGTACTAAAAGAAATTACATAAGTAGCAATAATATTTGCATAGGTAATTCGTTTCCATGGAGTGTATTTTAAGTAATACGTATGTCACGAAATGGCAATGACAAGTTTGTGTAAATAATCTAGCTGGCTCGCTAGTGCTCGCCAAACGTGCAGGTGTAAACGAGGCATAGACGCAAGGTTACTCGTCTGTCGCACCCCTCCCGATTAAACTCCCTATTTCGAATCCAATATTCCACAAACCGAGGCTAGCCCTTTCACTATATACACAAATAAAATGTTCATGTACATAGGCCACGCTTATTGAATTGTGAACAAACCCTTTCGAATTACACACTGCATAACACAGACGGTTTAATTCAAAAACAGTTGTTATACACGTGATTGCGTGCCATATTTATTTAAGGGCTAATTTTTTTAATAGTTAGATAAAACTTAGTTGGGGAATAATTATGATGCTGTCGCGTCAGAATGTTTGTATAAGACAGTGACAGCGACCATTTTATTCCACAGATAACATTTATCTGACTATTGAAAAATCAGCCCTTTCATTATTTTATTTTGACATGACAATGTGATTATAATACACAGCATGTTTTAAATTACGAAACTATACAGTAGGTATTTAAAATGTGTAATTCGATATCTCGAACAATTCGCATTAGTCGTACCTTTGTTTTAGCGAAGTAAGTCGAGTGCTTTCTGCAATCTAAACAATGCTTCTACTTAGATAGATACTGAGTCACCGATTAGATTGTTTGATATAACTTGAAACTGTACAAAGTAACCGCTGCTATCATTTGCATACACTGATACACGTGCACCGGTGACTATGTACATAGTAATATGTATGTAGGTATATAGACTACTACAGTACATTGTGATTGAATAATATTCTCACATAGCTTTAAAATTTACCATTGCATTGACTTACAAAACAAACGAGAATTGCTTCGTGCGTCCCAGGTATCTAGAACGCGGTGCGCGGCGCTCACTTATCATTTCATCTAGGATTTCTAAAGAAGCGACAGTCCCACTGACATTTAAGTAACTTATTGTGTACATCACAAGCTTACGTTACGTCATGACTCTTTTCAGTTACATAAACAATGTGTTTCAATACAAAATATAGGATTTTATTGGTTTATATCTTCCTGACAAAATGTCAGGTGGCATCGTGACCTAAAAACCCGGTGGTTGGCACCTCGATCTCTTTTTGTAGCTGGTATCCCATTAATAATGTCTTTTGTTGCCTATAGCAAGCTTTTTCATTAACAGCGAGTAATCGATTTTTATTGTGTCTGCGTTTTTAGTTTTCGCGCCTGTCTGCGAACGAATGGAAACGGTACGTGATGAACGAAGTTTTTATTGGCATCAGATTCGATCGGCAACATTTATGGAATGATTAACGTTTAATATTTTCTATTATAACTTTTTTTTCGTACAAAAAAAATATGAAATGACGCTCTTTATTATGACAAAAGATTATATTATGGCGAATAATCAACCAGATTTGGTTTACCTACGGTATTTAAAATATGAAAAGCTAGTTAGGCATCTACAAAGTTGAGGCTACTTAGAAGAACATAGGGACACCTATAAAGGACACTAAAAATAAACAAGCAAAGTAAACAAACAAGGAAACATGGTTTTCCTAGCACACGAACTGAGCAACATTTTAGCTGGAAGTGTCGGTTTGCAAGCTGTAGTGGAGGCGCAATGTCGCCAGTCACGCGACCAGGGGCGGCACCAACAGCTTATTGATTAAATATAATTACACGCCTCCGTTCGTCCCTTCCTTCCAACATAATCCCCACTATGATAAAACATGAACCAGGACAATATACTCCAATTAATTACTTGTAATTTATTGATTACTTAGGTACGTCAGTTTATAACACTTTAAAAGTACATGTAAATAGTTAAGTTGTCATAAATGTCTTGAGTTTTTAGTTAGATTTCTATTTGATTTGGTTCCATTGTGATATGATATTTAATTATACATATATAATATGATAGTCGTACGTGCTTCTGCTCGACCGATTTTGTACAAAGTTCACATAAACCATCTGCTAAATTGTCATAACAAAGCCTAAACATTTGGTTTAGGTAGGTACGTAAGCCTGTTCTTGAGTTATAAAATTACAACGAAAATTGGCGTTGATTTTTATAGTTATTTATAGATATATGCACCTGTTTCACAACGTCGAAATAGCCACTATGTAACAGATCAATTTGAATAAAGAACATAATTTGAAAAAAGTATAAATCGGAACTTAATATGAAGAGAATACTATGAAGGCTGTGTGTATTTTTGAACAAAAATATCGAAATGACGAACACGGACACTTAATATTATCAACTAGATAATATTGAGAATACTTCCTAAATTAAATTCTTACCTTTACTAATGTTAATATGTGGTACTTTATGTGTTTGAATTGAATATTTAGGCTTCGAAACGACTTCTAAATTATCTCACTTTTTGAGAAGCTACATAAATCCCCTATTAACAACGCGGATAAAACTATGAGGCACAGCTAGAAAGTCATATTCTGTCCTCCATAATATTTGCAATCAACCTGATGACATCAATATAAATAAATGCAACGATAGAACATTGAATACTAGGTATAGGTACATCGGTTGAAAATACTCCAGAACATATCAAATAACACGCACTCGTACACCATCTCCATTTGAAACGCATTACCCTCCTTTTAACATAAGTAGGTATAGTTACACTATTCCACTTCCCATTTACTACCCGTGGATTCACTTACTCTCTTACCTTCTCTAAAAAAGAGGGAATTGCTACAAACAACTTAGGACCAAGCCTTCTCTTCAATCCCAAAACCCGAATCTCCAAATCTTCAAGATCTTAACCCTCAAAGGGCTGGCAACGCAATCGTATTTCCTCACTGATTGCTTATCAACAGATACTAATAGGCCTTCACATTTGCCACCCTATCCCAAATAGAAAATTTCTCCATCTTTGCAGGCAGGTTGGAGATCGCAATTAGCCTAATCCCTGTGAAATGTATAGTCACTTAGTCAAATCTCCTGGAGGTTAAGGACACCTGCTAAACATACATTAATGTATGGGCTCAAAACCGCTTACCAATTTGACTTTTTCCGAGTTATACCTTCAAGTTTATTCATAGACACTACGAAACGGTGAAAAATACTGGGCTTATAATTTAGAATTATAAGTTTGAAATTGCCAATTCGCCTTTGGCAAGCGTATTGATTGATGCTTAACCCTTCTCTGTGCGAGAAGAGTTCTTTGTTCAGCAAAGTTTAGCTTACTCATAGACTAGTGATGTAATGAAATACATAATGTATATTATGTATAGTTGTGTATGTATAACCGCGAGAAGAAAACGCATGACCAATATATAGATTCTACTCTGCCTCTAGCTAATTGAATAAACGTTGGACTTACAAGACCTCTTTATTGCCCACAGATGGATGGCTCCAATCAGTTTGGCGATCCACGCACCTGGTTCTGACATGCAGCCTTCAGTGAACAGCATCAGGTATCTCCGGGACTGTTCCGGCAACGACCTCGTCCAGCAATACGTGACCTTCCACATTTTCTTCTCTAACAAACACATACCTGATAATGTAAGTTATTGTAAAAACAGTTTCATAATATTCTTGATCTTTATTTCCACTTAAATTGCTTCTAAAGTAGTACTTAATTCTTCAAGAATTATACGCTTTAACAATTCTAAATAATAACTCTATAAATGTAGTGAAAACGGCATTGAAACGCGATCAGCAGTTTTTGAGTTTGTTGCAAACAAACACAGTCATGGCAGCAAATATAGTATGTAATGATGTAATTGCAGTTCCTCATTTACCTAGTTAATCTTACAAATTTCAAATAACAAAAGTCTACTTAGCAAATTGATTTTTAGTCGATGTGGTAAAGTAGGATAAGAAATCGCTTTAGATTATAACTTGGACTGTAGCTCTGTCCTTAACACAGTTTTCTAATAAAGAAAATTGATCTACATGTGCGCAATTACTTTTTTTTTTATGTAATAGGACGGCAAACGAGCAGACGGATTACCTGATGGTAAGCAATCAGCGTCGCCCATGGACACCCACAACAAAGAAGGAGTGCGTTACCGACCTTTTAGGGATTGGGATTTTGGGAATTTAAGAATTGGGAAGGTATTGGGCCTCCGGTAACCTCACTCACACGGCGAAACACAACGTTGTGGTTGTTTCACGCCGGTTTTCTGTGAGGCCGTGGTATAACTCCGGTCGAGCCGACCCATTCGTGCCGAAGCATGGCTACTTTAGCGCAAAACGGAGTAACACAACAGCCTCACAGACAATCGGCGTGAAACTGCTTATTGAGTTTACCGGAGCGCGGCGGCCCAATCCTTCCACTCCTCCAATCCCTAAATCTACAAATCCCTAATATCCCCAAAAGGTCGGCAACGCACTTGGTAACTTTTCTGATGCTATGGGTGTTCATGGGCGATGCTGATAGCTAATTATCGTCACTGATCTCTCTCTCTCCCACCTTCTCTACTTCTCTTGACATTTGATGTATATAAACGTACATACACAGAGATACATACATAGATATATTATAATATGTGTATCTGAGTACACTCATAGGTTTTTTTTTGGTGAGGGGAAAATCATTAAATAACTTCTCCCGCCCAGTGGGTGGGTGGGGCGGGAGTAGTGTCAAGACTCTTACTGACTAAAAACCCCCGTTCCTTCTAATGCTCAGGGCCGAGGCGCGCTTACCCCGCAGCATACACATAGGTAGATTGTTTGTGTACAAAATCTCACTTCAACTCCTAATGGCCGTAGTGTGTTGTTGTTAACCTTCTTCGATAAATAGACACACGAAAACATTTGTTTGAAAACCTGTGAATCTATGACTCACGTGTGTTCACTGGGAAAAGCTATTCTCTAAAACATTTTAATATATGTATGTTAGTAGAGATAATACATGTATGTTTATATATGTATGTATATGTTACATACAAAGTCATTGACCGCTCCTGTTACAATTCTGGAACGTAACAATAGTTTCTGGCAATGAGCCAGATGGACATTTGATTCACTTCCTTATTTATTTACTTTTACTCAGTTTTAGCAAAACAAATAGTAACAGGCTTATAACTGGGCTGTTGTTGTTTATGATACACATATTATGAGGTACACAATATAATGGTTATAACTTATAACTCATTGGATGCATGTACATATGTCATCATCATCATCAGGCCTTTTCTCACACGGAGAAGGTTAGAGAATTAATCACCACGCTTGCTCAATGCGGGTTGGTAATTTCAAAGTTACAATTAGAAATTATAAGTCCAGGTTTCCTCACGATGTTTACCTTCACCGTATGTCGGTGGTGTCTAAATAATCATAGAAAGTACATATAACTCGGAAAAAGTCACATTGGTACTTGCCAGGTTTTGAACCCATGTATGGGAAGCGGGCTCCTTAACCTCCGGGCCACCACACATTTACACACCATATATGTGAGAGGAGCTAAGTACATAAATAGCTCATTTTTCAGAAGTTGTTTAGGTACATTCTAAGTATCATGCATGAAGAGCAAATCGATGAACGCATTTTTTTTAATCTTTATTGATAAAGGGCTTTAATTGCAATGCGATGATGCCAGCCCGTGAACGCAATTTGAGAGACTTTTTGAGGGGGAAATATATGACTTCTCTCGCTCCAACCAGGCCGAAGAAATGACAGATTTTTGCTGACTAAAGCTACGTTTCTTTTCCTGCTCCAGGCCCGGGCTGCGATACTTTATTGCGCTTAACCCGCAACCGCGGCTGAACATCAACATTATTGGGCCCCAGCATTATAATGTTAGCAAAAATAATTCTGATACTAAGTCAACTTTGTCCTTCGTACTTGGAGGCAACCTCGTGTCTTATCTATAAAAGAGTCTTGACAAACAAATTTTAACTAACGAACATAAATAAAAAGCTCTCACTGTTATTATACCTAACAATCTTTAATGACTTTAAAACAATACATAACCAACCTCACAATAACATTTTCAGATTCCAAATCCAGATGAATTCTTGAAGACACCGTACAACTGTTCACTGCCTGCTCCGTATGCTGTCAATTCTTCCACGACGTACAAGGAAAAGACGAATCTCTTGTATCCCGTCAATGTCGGAAGAAACATCGCAAGAGCTGCAGCTCTGACCCACTTCCTCCTGCCGTTGGACATAGAACTGTACCCCAGCCCGTACCTGGTGCCTCAATTCTTGAATATGATCGCCAGAAACGAACCACCACTTAGCACTTCCAACAAGCCCAGAGTCTTCCCCTTAAGTTTATTTGAGATTGATAAAAATTATAGTGTAAGTATGAATATATGTATTTTAGACCATTCTTTATTACGAAAAATAACTTGCTTGATAGCATCTTAATCGCTTTCTCGCGGCTGAGAAAAAAAAAATTTTTTGCATTTTATACTGTACTGTATTATTTTACATTGTATTGTTATATGTTGATCACATCTGGCATTCAGTTTATACAAGAATACCATATGCAGTTAAATAAAATAAAAATACACGCCAAATGTGTAGTAAGTATGGCTACAAATCATAATTATGCCAACTTTTTGCCATTTTCATTATATTAAGTACCTAGGTAAGTTACGCATACAACGATAAATTGGCTATTAATACACTGTTCCCATAACTCATATAAATAAAACAAGTAAGCAATAAAAACTTTTTTATGAGTGATAATAACATAAATTAGAATGATCGTGTACAAATTATTATTTGTATACCTTAAAGTATTAAGTTGTCAATTACGTGTAAATAATTTACTTATATTATATTAAAGCATTATTTAGTAATAATATGCTTAAACTATTTTGCTATAAGTAGGCTTTAATAACAAAACAACATTTTTAAAATAATGATTCCAAATCGGCCGGTTCCATTTTTGTGAATAATAATATTTTTAGCAAGAAGACATCACAGTATAAGAACGCGAATTCAATCATGTTAAAGTTTAATGATAACTTAGTTTTCTTCTTATCATTTCAGCCGCCTCAGACCAAATTGGAACTGCAGGGAATGTTGAAGAACAAAACGGCGATACCGTTCCACAAGTACGTGTGCCCGACATGTCATAACATACCACGTGGAAACGAGTGGATGGCCAAACCCGAGACCCCATGTAAGTAAAAAACTATTTGTTTTAAGTATAAATGGTTTTATTTTTGCAAACAGGCCATGAAACAGCAGTTTTGCACGTCAAAATTATATAAAAACCTAAATGAAGCCTGCATTTCCTATCTAGGAAAAATAGGCTTCATCATTCTTCTACTTCTCAGAGTAGTCAGATGACTACTTTGAGTAGACATATCGAAACAAACTCAGAGGTCCGTGTCTTTTAAAGTCCAGGCAATGAAAAAAAAAATATAATGAGTGTGAGAACCGAGCAAGTTTATTCTGTAGTGGTCTTTTGAGGAAAGAATTGCACCAGTTTAGTGGACCTGTTTTGAAGTTTAAACCTTAAATGTACCTTACTACACTGTACAAACGGACTAGCAGAAAGACTTACCAATATTATAATAGCGAAAAGAAATTTCTGATACTTCGTCACGTCCAAACAGCTGATCTTAGCGTACAGATGATTCTAGTCTATAACACCTTCTTTTCTTTCTGATATTACATAATAGAAAATATCTTTTTTATATATTTTCACTAGTATTATAGTAGAAACTACTGCTAATGTTGCAGTAAATTAATCCTAACAGTATATATCTCGAAGGTTGACAATGCTTTGGTATTACACAGTACAAGAGTCATTGGCAATAATATAAAATGCGATTTTATTGCGAAATGAGTGTTTTGGCAAATCACAGAGTGATGCAGCAATTAATCTAAGTGCTGTTAGTGTCGTGAGCTATTTATGCCGTCTGAGGCATGGCGTGGCCGTCGTATGGGGCATTCTAATTGCGTATTATGGTTCAACGACCGCGCCTTACCCGCTGTTCCCAGACGACCGGCTTTAACTTCTTACGCCAATTTGTAAAATCGCAAACTTTCCGATTCAAGAATGCGTCAATACATACTTACGTACATTATGCAACTCTTATTTCCTTTGTTATTGTTAGCTACATCAAACTGCATTGCTCAGTCCACACTTGCTGCGAACATTGTGACATCTAGTCACTACATAGTATAAAACAAAGTCGCTTTGTATGTTTAAATCTTTAAAATTACGCAACGGATTTTGATGCGGTTTTTTTTAAAAACAAAATTATTTAATAGGGGTCTATATGTATAACTAGCTTTTGCCCGCAACTTTGTTCGCGTGGAATAGTGACTTCCTGCAGATTTTTTTTTTAAACTATCCTATGTCCGTTCTCGAGTTCCAAACTATGTCTGTACCAAATTTAACATAAATAGGTTCAGTAGTTTAAGGGTGAAGAAAAGACAGACAGAGTTACTTTCGTATTTATAATATTAGTTTGGATTTGGATAACATTCAACAGAACTTTAGTAACACCAGCGCGGAATTACATGGGTAGATACTAACCCCTTAGTCAGTTTTTTGTAAAACAAAATGTGTTGGTAAGAGCACAACTCTAAAACGCCTAGACTTATTTTAACAATATTAATTTTGTTCCTTGTTATTTCCGGGAAACGGTTTTTATGAAGGACTTTAATCTCGCGGTTTTTAATCTCGCGCGGTTTCACCCGCTGCTCGGCTCCATTTAATCGTAGGGTGATGTTTTATAGCCTATATCACTCAGGAATATTGTAGCTATCTATCAGTGAAAGAATTTTGGCAATCCGACGGTTCCAAAGATTACCCCCTACATACAAACTTACAACCTTACAAACATACAAACTTACAAATTTTACTTCTTTTTAATATTAGTACAGTTGAGTATTAGTATAGATAAATTGAGAAAAGTAGAGGGAAAAATAAAATGCAAACATTGAAAAGAATTTGTTTTACAAAGCAATTAGGTACTTATTCAACATTAATTAATTCAAGTCGACGTGCCAAGTTTTCTCTAAACTAATTCCATAGTTTTGCGTGATCGGTTACCATGTATCAAGTTGTTAACTTTCGTTTTTAATTATAGTTTAATAATAATAATTTATTTTGTTTCATTACAGTAATGGAAGTGTTTTACGTGGGCAAGCGAGAAGGGAAGTTTAGTCACTGGGAACCTATCTTCATTGGTACACACTCAGACGCCTATTATGATGATCGATTAAGTTGGGAAGGCAAGAAAGATAAAATGACACAGGTAATTAAATCACTACTTTTTTCCGACTATATTTCCTTCTAGGATTCGTGTTTGGCGCAGTGGGTCGACAACTGGCTGCTTTGCAACGAGTCTGTGTAAGATTTTCGCACGAAACAACGTTTTTTTTCATCCACAAATTGTTGTTTTTGGTGTGAAAGTTGGCTTTAGATTGAATAGTTGTAAGCGCACCAACGACCCAGGAGAAAAGCTTAGTATGGGGCAACGTCTCATACATTATCATAAAATTCAAAGTATTTTTTTTATTGACCTTATTTTCAACTACAGTCTCACTGTCTTCGAAAATTTTTTTTTCACACTTCTAAAATTATTATTTATCTAGATAAAGCTATGCCCAGAATATTATACAGTTCAGGATATTTTTTTTAAGTGATAGGTAAGTCGGCAAACGAGCAACCGTATTATCTGATGGTAAGCAATCAGCGTCGCCCATGAACACCCGCAACGACAGAGTAGTTACAAGAGGAGATTTTGGGAATAGGCCTCCCCATTCCCAAACCCTCCAATCCCTTTGAATTGGGGTAGGGGAAGGATTGGGCCTACAGTAACCTCACTCATACGGCGAAACATAACGCTGTGATTGTCTCACGCCGGTTTTCTGTGAGGCCGTGGTATCGCTCCGGTCGAGCCGACCCATTCGTGCCGAAACATGGCTCTCCCCAGACTTAGATATAATATTTTACTATTATCTTTTACAGGCTTATATCTTTTGCGCCAAAGACTACGAGTTCATGATTTTGAGCAACGCGTTCCTCGTCCACAAGCCTGGCATCAAATATTACAAGGCGAACCCGAAGAGAGACAAGTATGCTTCACGGCAAGCAGCCTACGTCAACAACGTCATCAAAAAAGAACTCAAAAAAATCTTCGGCTCAAAACCCGGCTGCGTACTGTGACGACAAACAAGAATCAAAGTTATATACTCGAACCTAAAACACCTCAGAGTTACAAAATAGAAATTTTCAGGCTATTCAAAACGCTAGGCATACTAATTACGCTTACAGGGTTCAATAAATCCGCCTGATTTTGAAAAAAAAATGTTGATAACGGAATTGTGTCCTAGATCAAACATATCACTATGATTAAAAACTAAAAATGCAAAGTCGGTTAAGATTAATACGCACACTCCAGTGAATTTTCATTAGAGAGGTTAAGTACTAACTAATTACTAATACAGGCGTTAAATAATGCATAGGATACTAGACATGAAAGAGGCCTTAAGCAGATACTGTAAGGTCTTGTTTACGAAGACACGTCGTACATCGCAGCACCGAACCGCGTCATTGCTAGCACAAATAAAATCATACAAGCAATGTATGACGAATATACACGACGCGCCGCGGCTTCGTAAATAAAGCCTAAGGATATCTCTAATCTTAGAAACATGCACACGTCCGTAATCTAAGTCAAAAAGGCAATGAATCTTCTTCAAAGATTGATATTTTGTTACTTCGCAAAAGACCATTTTGCTATTGCAAATACCAAAATGAACAAGGAGGTATATTCGATTATAGCCTTTAATATCCTATACAGAAAAATCATAGCTGTAGAACATTTTTATTAGTTTTAAATTGTATATATTTTGCTTGCTATACTTTAGTGTAACAAAGTACTTGACTCGTAAAATTTAAGTGCTTTTTTACAAACAGCTGTTATAAATATGTGTAGATTATATTAAGGGCCTTGTTAGGAGACTGGTTGTACGACTAGTCGCGCAACCTTACCCCAAAGGTAACCCTGAAAAATATCAAGATTGATAGAACTGCAAACATTTTGCCTTGGTCGTATAACCATCATATCCTAATGGAAAAGTGACCCTATTGTGCTTATAAGCTTCTAAAACACACCAAGTGTTAATTTATCTTCATATGTGTCTATTGCTACACTGTAAAACCTATGTTTAAACTGAAATAACGAATGTTTGTAAAGACTAAGCTTGTGATTTCAATTTTAAACACTATTATCTTCGTGTTTGAGATAAAAATTGTATGTTTTAACTATGTCACTTATGTCTATTTCAATGTCGTTTTTCTCAAATTCATAAAAAATAATGTTTGGTGATACTGAAAACTTTTCTTTTTAGATTGGCTGGTTCAAAAAATTTTAATGTGATAATTTTGTTAATCTGTACGACAATCGACATAATCTTCGCACAAGCTTTTCGATGTTTATATTTATTTTTGACTCATTCTAAACTGCATTTTTAGTCTGTACTTCATTAGATTATTCGCTAGTGATACAATATACTTATATTTGTAGATTTTTATAACGATTATCTGTGTACATAATGAGTGTAAGAAGTATGTATAAGTATCTACGCTATTTTGTAATATTTTATCTGTGATTTTATTTGAAATAATTACCCGACTGATAAAAAAGAGGGTTATGTTATACATTTCAAGTAAGTAAGTACTTAATAAAATCACAGGAAAAATCTTCGTAAATCATAAACGTCTCCAGACCTAAAAAATTATTTGTAAAGTAAAAGGAAACAATGAAGAAGAACCGATTATTTTTATTAATTTTATTGCCATATGGGAATAACCAATATTCCCGATTACATTTTTGTCAAACAATCACTATTGATATCTCCGCTGTAGACAACCAGGGACATATTAAACTTTAGTACATACCATAAAATATACATATATACATATGTAAAATTTATTGCAAAATAATGTACCTACCTATGTGAGAAAAACTTTACTAATAGTTTCAAGTCTTCTGCGCCACGTCGCCACGACGCGCACGCTGCTCATGAGTAAGAGTCCCGGTATATCTTGAAACTATTAGAGCTTCTCCCAGTTAATTGACGAGAGTAAGTCGTTGTTTCCAATGATATGTCTCACGCTAGTTATTATACAAAAGTATAAAAAATTACTAGAAAAATAAAGTCAAGCATAAGCAACATATAATATACATATTACGTAGTATATACATACAACTATATGTAATAAGTATACCGATAAATCAAGTCGGCCTTATTGTGGAAACTAGTTTAGGATTAGTCGCTATATATAAATAAACATGTACAGTGCTAAGCTCACCACGTTCAATATTTATTTTTAGTTATATTTTTAAATAAGTAGTTAATGTTTTTCCTATATTCTAGTTTTTTTTAAGATTTCCTGCTTAGGTATGTATATGTTTAAGTTTTTAATTTGGATTTGAAGTTATAGATGGTAACTTATGTACATTTCTAGATTCTTATTTAGATTTATAAATGGACAATTGAATTGAATAACAATGCAAGTAGATACGTTTAAAAAAGCTTTTGAAGCATCTCACTTCTTTTATCCTAAAGCTGAAAATACATACAATATTTTTTACCGTTCGTAATCTAAGCGGAAAATAGGTTTTTAAACGGAAATTTAATATCAAAACTAGTTTATCTGTGTGCCAAATACCCGTATGAGAAACAGTCCAATGCAAAAATTACCGCCATGAACAAGAGTCGAGTGGCTGCGCAGTAGGTTTATTTTTGTGCACTGCGCATATTATCTGCAGCTCACTTCAGTGATGTTAATGATTTGATTTTGGTGTAAAATATTTTTAAGTTTTCTTTTTCATGTTAGTTTCTAAGTACTGTTTTAGTATTAAAACTTTTTAGTTTATTCATGGGGTCTGGTTATGGTAAATGCATGTGGTGAGCTTTCGCTGTCAGGCTTCAAAGTGCCTCTTAGTTTGTAAGAGCAATATACTTATATAAAGTCTTCTAAATGTGATCATTTATAAAATATTTATCAATGTATAATCTAATTATGTACTACGTTTTGTAACGTTTTCGTACCCGAAAATTGAAATAAAACAATACAATTCTTACAGTATCATGTGTTTTATTTGGGCGTACAGATATTCTAATAGTTTAAAAATGATGCTTAGGTATATGTAACTAAAAAATCAACACATCTGTTGTCTTTTCCCAAGTCCACGACAAGAATATTATAAGAAAATTGTGCCAATTTTTAAAAACAATTAACCATATTATATCAGCGGCAAATAAAAATTGTAAGGTGCAATCCGTACCTACATTCCAATACGTACGTACATAATGTCTATCAAAATCATAACGATTTTCTTTGTAGTCTTACTTTATAATCGGTTAATAAAATAATAGGTGGCACAATTAAATCTATTTGAATATTTAAACTACAAATGTCTATAGAAAAGTACATTTTTGGAAATTACAAAAAAAAAGTATCGAATTTGACCAGTCGTCCTTCATTGGTTGTAAAAAGTAGAAAGAGGTATACAAAATATGCAAGCTCAACTGTTTTTTTATCGAATAAGTCGGCAAACGAGCTGACGGTTTACCTGATGGTAAGCAATCGACGCCGCCCATGAACACCCGCAAAACCAAAGGAGTTAGAGTGCGTTGCCGGCTTTTTGGAGATAAGGGTTACGGATATAACGATTGGGAAAGAATAGGGGAGGGGTAGGGATTGGGCCTCCGGTAATAACCGCACGGCGAAACACAACGCTGTGGTTGTTTCACGTCGGTATTCTGTGAGGCAGTGGTATCACTTCGGTTGAGCCGACCCATTCGTGCCGAAGCTTGGCTCTCCCACACTTCGAATGGATTGGCAGAAAAATGCAAGTAAATATGGACCGTAAGCCGTTGCAAGGGCAGACCTCCCGCACAGTAGGGAGCCATTAAATGTAAGTGGCTAGTTGTCGTTCGAAATATCGAAATAATAGAGAAGCACTCCACTAAGAAAACGCTGGACTTTTGTCCAGCCGTGGACGGCTTCCAGATGAAAATAAATTACAATCTAAAAAATATAAAGATAAAAAACAAACTGCAGTATACTAACAAATGATTACACCTAGAGCTCTCAGCAGAACGTGATCGCCTATATCCTGGGCCAGGGCCTGGAGGGTAATGACTATCAGGAGGTCTACTAGAATCCTTGAACCTAGCAAACTCATCATACGTAGGAATACGACTCGCCGGAGGCTCTTCGATTGGAGGTGGCTCCTGCTGCTGTACAGGCTCCTCAGCCTTGTTCTCAGTTGGTTCAGCCTTATTTTCATCAGAAGTTGCATTCCCATCTCCTCCCTCATTATTCGTTGACAATAACACCCTATAAGTATCTTCCCTCTGCATTCTTTGAGATTCTGTCGGAAGATCCAAGGTCGAAAAGATACCAGGGCTAGTGCCGTCGATGTTCATCCAAAGCCGTGACCAATGAAACGTGTTACGATATAATAAAACTACAATAATTACAAGGGTAATTGACACAGTATTCTGTCCCGATGACATTCTTGCGACAAATATACTTTTATTTTATATTTCACAAAAGTTCGATCGAAAAATTTAGGCGCACTGTAGAGTATCTATTACTGTAAGTTAGAATTTAAACGTTCTATAAGAATCAAATAATCGATATTATATTTTTCAGTGTGGCAGAGCCAAGCTTCGGCACGATTGGGTCGGCTCGACCGGAATGATACCACGGCCTCAGAGAAAACTGGCGAGAAGCAACCAAGCAACCACAGCGTGATTGAGTTTACTGACGCGGAGGTCCAATACCTCCCCTTCTCGGATGAAATTTCTCACCATCCCTCCCCCTCTTTTAAATAGCCGAAACCCTTAACCCCAAAAGGCCCGCAACGCTCGAACTCCTTTGGTGTTACGGTTTATAATGGGCGGTCCCAATTGCTTACCATCAGGTAATCCGTACGATCGTGTGCAGAAGCTACACTTCTTCTTCTTCACTTCTTATATTGTTATTTATGGATATTAAGTGTTATAGTTTTTAATTTTTAATTGATAATTAAAATGTTATTTTCTTATTTATTATTGTATTATATTATTGTTATCATTGTTGTCATTGTTGTGTAATTGATTTATTAATATTGTATAATGATTTATGATTGCCACAATTTCTGTACTAGCGGTGTTAACCTATAATTAATTGTTACACAAGTGTAGGATCAAATATTATTTGTAAGATAATGTTAAGGTGTAAACAGTTGTTGGTTAACCTCAAATAAATAAATAAATAAATAAATAAATAAATAAATAAATAAATAAATAAATAAATAAATAAATAAATAAATAAATAAATAAATAAATAAATAAATAAATAAATAAATAAATAAATAAATAAATAAATAAATAAATAAATAAATAAATAAATAAATAAATAAATAAATAAATAAATAAATAAATAAATAAATAAATAAATAAATAAATAAATAAATAAATAAATAAATAAATAAATAAATAAATAAATAAATAAATAAATAAATAAATAAATAAATAAATAAATAAATAAATAAATAAATAAATAAATAAATAAATAAATAAATAAATAAATAAATAAATAAATAAATAAATAAATAAATAAATAAATAAATAAAATACAGAGCGGGGTTTATGTATACAACGCACAGCTGTAACCTATAACATAGTCTACGAAATGGCTGGCTTAGAGGTAGCAATTAATAAGTCTGAAGCCATTGCTTTCCATGGCCCAAGACGAGCACCACCACCGGGATCGTATATCGTTGTTAGTGGGGCTCGAATAGATGTCGAGTCCACCATGAACTATCTAGGATTGGTGCTCGACAGCCAAAGGAGCTTCATCAAAGTTAATGGGCGCTGTGGGCGCACTCTCGTCGCTGCTTCCCAATTTGGGGGGCCCGAGCGACGTCTGTAGACGGCTCTACGTAGGAATCGTGTGATCCATGGCTATATACGGTGCCCCCATTTGGGCAACTGATCTGACGGCTAGTACAATAGCAATTCTGCGAAAACCGCAAAGGGCGATGGCCATTAGAGTCATAAGGGGCTATCGCACGATATCCTATGAGTCGGCATGCGTTCTGGCCGGATCGCCGCCCTGGGACCTAGAGGCAAAGGTACTTGCGTCGCTTTATAAGTGGCGTGAAGAAAAGAGAGAACAGGGTGTCCAACTGGTGCAACGCCAAATAGAATTGCGCCGGTCAGAGCTTCGTCAGGTCTTAGTAGCGGAATGGCGGGAGCGGCTTCAACGTCCTACTGCTGGCTTCAACACCATCGACGCTATCCGGCCAGTACTCGATGACTGGCTCGGGAGAAGACACGGCTCTCTGTCATTTCGCGTGACGCAAGGGCTTTCAGGGCATGGCTGCTTTGGGAAGTTTTTGTATCGCATAGGCAGGTGCTCGGTGCCATCACTGCATGTATTGTGAAGAGGACACGGCATAGCACACGCTAGTGGAGTGCGCAGCGTGGAATGAACCACGTAGTTTGCTTATATCAATTATAGGAGATGATCTGTCGCTGCCAACTGTTGTTAAACAAATGGTCGGCAGTGTAGAGTCATGGGATGCATTGGTGTCCTTCTGTGAAGATGTGTTGTTGCAGAAGGAGGCTGCGGAAAGGGAAAGGGAAATCATAAACCCTCTTCCCACAAGCAGCAGACGCACTAGGGGTAGGATGAGGGCAGAAACTGCTCTCTTCCGACCCCCCTAAATAGGTACGGGGACGGAGGACTTGGGGGAGACTCCGTCATCCCGTTAAATAGGGCCCAAGACGGTGGCGCGCGTTGTTTCCGCGCGCCTAGAGGCGAGTCACGGGGGAGATTCGCACTCGCTTCCCTGTGCATCTTGAGGTGGGTCTATGGAGATAGGCCATCACGAGTGGGGCTGCGGATGAATTTTGATTCCCGCGTCCTCACGCCCACGTGAGAGACGGGACAAAAAGGTGGTTTTTAGTCAGTAAAAGTCTGACAGTCCCCTTCGTCTCCCGAGGCGAAGGGGCTCCATGAGGATTTTCCACCTTGGGGCAAAAAAAAAAGTCTACGAAATGGCTGGCTGTATACAAAGCGTGTACGAATTGGCTACGTTTTAGAAGCGACTACTCAAACACACATAATGTCTATGCAACGTCTACGAAACGGACAATCTGGATAAACTATATCTATGTATATTCAATGTAGGTACATTTGTTTTTATGTTGCTTCGTCTATTAACCAAATCCATTAAACATTATAGCGAGTGATAATGGCGAAACAAACCCTTTGGGATACTTCCTACATTTTTATGGGTCGTTAAGACTAAATGGTTCATAAATTATTACAATGGCAAGTATAATGTTTTAGTAATGACAGCACTTCTTTTGTAACTACATAGATGTTTTATAACCTAATAACTTAGTAATATCTGTATCTATTTTGTAAATGCTATAATAAGTCGTAAGCACCTAATTATGACGTCACGATTTTAGCTAAATGCATAGAAATGTGTTTTTGGATAATTGGGTCTCTGGTAACCTCACTTAGATGGAGGAACACAATGCAGGCCTTGTACCACGCTGTTTTTTAATGAGGCCGTGGTATCACTCCGGTCGATTCGTACCGAGGCATGGCATTCCCAATCGTTTCATCGTATCAGTATTCTACTACATCTAATTAATTTATTTATGTGTACGAATAAAAAGCCATAGCTTGGTATGTAAACTTTATCCAATATCAATATTATCCTTTTCAGTCAGTAAAAGTCTGATTTTCCCTCTAAACTCACTCTGGGTGGGAGAAGTCATTTGAAGATTTCCCGATTTTCTCCTTTGTAAGGAGAAAATCAGACCTTACTGACTAAAAACCCTCTGTTCATTTTCCTGCTCTAGGCCTAGTCACAGTGCCTTATTGCGCTTACCCCGCAACCCCGACAATATCAATAATATCTAAGGTACAAATTCGACTACCTTAACACACGCAATGATTTTTTTTATTTCTACAAGTTAATCGTCGGGCAATTTTTTTTTTCTCAGTATGAAAATACATATATCAACGAACCTGTGAAATCCCAAATTACGATAACATTCCAGACGTGTGCTTCTTTGAATATAAATTGCTTTGCAAACCGAAGTAGGGCCACCATAATGTACAAGGTTAATAGGACTTTCGGAAAATTGTTAATCACATTTGTGAAATCTTTACATAATAATATAAAATTCTGCTGTGCGTGTGTAATTGAACTCTTCCTAAACGGCTTGACCGATTTAAATAAATTTTCCAGTATGCGTTTGAGTGGCGCCCTGGATGGTTTAGATTCACAAATCAGCCCGGCAGATGGAACTGATTGCTGGAAAAAGAATGTGATCTCCGAAACGGTCCTTAACGATTTCGCTGAAATTTGATTTGTTGGGGTTTTAGGGGAGGGTTCGCTAGTACTATTAAAATAATTATAATCTTACAAATCATTATCATCATCATCAATACTCCCTTTCTAAAAGTCTAGTGCTCAGTTTAGGAGCTTTGTCTACGAAGGAAGGATTGCCATAATCTGACTTTTAAAGATCAAAAGTTCAAGTTTACCAGAGAATACCCGGTCTATGCCAAATAAGCGACAAATATATTTTACCCTATTAGGATTTTTACTATGGAATAAGGCGGTATACGAGCAGACGGATTACCTGATGGCTAAGCAATCAACGCCACTCAAGGACACTCGTAACCACGTAAAAGAGGAGTTACGAATACATTGGTGGAGTACTTTTGGGGATTAGGGTTTTAGAGATAAAGGGATTGTTCAGGTCCGGGTTTTCGGTTATCTCACTCACACGGCGAAACACAACACGAGTTTTACGCCGGTATTCTGTGAGGCCGTGGTATCAATCCAGTCAAGCGTGCCCATTCACGCCAAAGCTTGGCTCTCCCACACTTAAAATGGTTACACGCACTCCCAAAAAGAAATTCGTTTTTAAACAACTATTTTAAGACCATCAGCATAATATATGCTATATGAAAACATAAACAAAAACAAAAGTCTCAAATCATAACACAACGTCATGGTACCCCTACACAAACCACGAGACAGATAAGGAAGTTGATCCAAGTAGACGGGACGTGAGTAGCATCACCGAACCAATGCTACGGTTTTCCCGCATTTGGCGCAAAATTATGTCCTTCAGTCCTTCGTTCTGTCATTGCAAAAACGTTCATAAGCACCGACATGACAGGATAAAACAAAACGCTATGAAATTATGATTCATTGGGAATTGAATGGAAGGAATCCTGTCAATAGTTTTTATCGAGTAGATTTGTGGTTGCTGTATCTGTTGCATAAGTATGATTGTAGTTTCTGAACTGAAAATTAGTATGGAGTCTGTAATTTAAATACAAAATGAAAATCTACTCTTAAAAAAATATAAGATACGTAATGAAAATGAAATTTCGAATAAAT